TGGCAGTGGGACCCATGATGACTGACTGGGAATCAGAGTCCGCTACTTCCTCGGACGTGTCGTCGTCCGATTGGGATGATGAAGAGGAAGATGGCTGTCCAAGCATTGACGATGCAGAGCCGCTTTGGTTCCTGAGCTCAGGCTCTACGGCCTTGCAGCTTCTCAGAAATTGGCCAGCACGGGGTCTACTTTGGGCACTCTGTTCTTTTTGTGTTGGGGGTGTGTGGGGGTGGGTAGATTGGTGGAGCATGATGGCGCACATTCAGCACAGTCACCATGGAAAAGTGCAGCGACATCCGCTGCCCCAGCACGCATGTGTGATTAAGCTTGAGGCACTTGGCCGCGGCGTTGCCGTCGTCGAGATTCTTGAAGCAGCTTCTCGATGCCTATTCAGCGACGGACGCTGGCCCAGCTGCAGATGTCACCCAAACTATTCCGAAATCAGATACATCTTGGGTGAAGGACGTGCGGAAACAGATCGAAAGCTGGGGTCTGTCGGAAAACCAGACACAGCAGCGGGTTTTCGTTTTCGACGCACAAAACCAGATGGTGCGGTGGCCGCCAGACCGTGCACCCATGCCACAGAGCAGGCAGCTTGCCTTGCAATTAGCACCATGACTCATCAATGGCGTCAAAACTGGCAATCTCCAGCAACGAGCGCTTGATTTGCTGACCTTGGCTAGCTCAAGCTTTCAGCTCTGCCAGGTTCCCCTTGACCTTGGTCTGCAGTGCAGATCACTGGCTTTCCAGGAGGCATGTCCAATGCACAATCGAAGTTCAAAGTCTCCGAAGGGTTGAGTTCGTCCATGGCATTCTTGTTGTCGATCCTTTTCCACATGTTCTGGTCATACACAAAGGAAGCATACCTACTGATGCAGTAGCGTCGGATCTGGGCAGGTCTGACCACGGTCAGACAGCAGTGCACATTGCCGCCGTGGCCAACAACACGACGCAACTGCAGCACCGTCCTCATCTTTTCGATAAGTTGGCCGCTGCGAATACCGAGATGTCTTCGCGCAACAGATGATTCAATTCCTCATGGCTCGCGATGCATCGTGTAGTTTGCTGAGGCTGCTGCTGGATGCCCACGCTGATGCCGCTGCTCAAGACAACAGCCGCTTTCCTTATCTCATCTGACCCTTGCAGGGTCGTCCGTAGTTGTCGAAGGAAGACTGGACCGTGGTGCAAAGACGGTGAATTGAATCCCTTAGATCGGAAGCTTTCTATAATTGACCTATGTGTGCTATGTGTGAGTTGCGTTAGCATCCGCAGTCCTGTCTCGTGCTTCCTGGCCAGATGGATTGACTCCGTTGATGCTTGCGCTCAAGATCCGGGGCACCTCAGTGCAAGATCAGATCTGCACCAGACGTTTTCTGTGGTGGTGTGTGTGCATGCGTGCTTTCGGGACTGCCGCATTCTCAAGGTGAAGATGCGGCGTTTCGTCTCATCACGCACACCGAGCAGAACCGGCCTGCGGCAATAAATAGTGCAGATGCTCAGCTGAAACGGGGCTGGATGTGATGTCATGAATTTCTTGCCCATCCTGAACTTGATCGCCGACATGCCATCAGCATCGACATCGCATCATCCCTAAAACCATAGGCACAATCATCATGGCTTTGTGATCGCCGTTTGTTCCTACTTACAACCATGTCCAGCGGTGAGTCTTACTATCTTACAGCAACTTTCAACTTCCGGTGTGGATTTGAACACACAGACCGAGAAGCTTGTGCATACAGGTTTTATGCCCTCCAACGGTCCGCCGCCACCCTGAACCTCCCTCGAAACAGAACCCTCAACGATGCTGCACTGCAGCGCGCGCAAGGATGTGTCATTCTGCACGGCCTTACACTTTGCAGTGCCCCTTGGCCCTGTTTCGCATGATGCACTGTGGCAGAGTTCGCAGACCTACGGTTCTCACCACTTGCTGCTGCGACTCTCTGCATTGGGCTGATGTGGGTCTAGCAACATCTAAGAGCCTGGTGTAGCTCATGATCCAGGCGCCGAATGCCGAACGCCGAGGTTTGCAGGCCACATGGCGGCGACTGTCGTTAAGCGCCTCCTGGAAGCCCGGGCCAACCCGATGCCAAAGAACAAAGATGGCCACACTCCTTTGATGCTCGGTGCTCAGTTGAGCTCTCCAACAGGGAGCAAGGGGACTCTTCACCAAAACCATCGCACAGTTGTGTTGATGTTCTGCTTCCGCATTAGACTGTAAAGCTCAGTTACTTGGCAAGAAAGAGCTTGACACAGCGCAGACCACCACTCCCGAAGTTGATGGTCCCACAAGACCATCTCGCAAATGGAGGCATAAAGCATTGCCAAAACATGCTTCTTGTATGCTAAACTCTCGTGGAGCCCATCAATGCATACAGTTGTGATTGTCCGGTTCCCCCCCACCCGGGATTCACCAGGGAGCGCTCGGCCCCATGTGCAAGGCATAGGAACAGCCCCAGACTAGATGCCCAGAAAGACAGGATCGAGAGAAACCAAGATACAGCTACGCGGGGTACCATGGCAGACGGCAGTTAGTTGAAGCAAGGGGAGTTCCCTGTTCTGAGCACTCTATTCAAGACTGCCACAGAAACACACCGGTTCTGCCCGATCCCAGTCACTCAGGCTCGCCATACAGCAAGGCTCAGCTGCTGCAGGGGTCGTGGAGGTCTTCCTGAGCCCCGGGTCCTGGTCGGCGGAGGCCCGCTGCAATTATCTTGATTAAGCTTCACAGTCGATGGCCTGGCAGTCCTGATGATTGCACATGTTATCACCGCCGAAGATAATTACGGAACATACAGGTGCCGTCAGCGTTGGTAGAAGTCACCTATGGGGCCACATCCGTGCCGAATCGATGGGCAAGGATGGAGATAATTGCGAAGATGCAACAAGTAAGTGCATCATGTAGAAGATCACAAAAAGCCGTATCCGATGAAGTTCTGAAAGCTCTTGCAAGATGCACACATGGGCTCTTCGGCATTCGGAAGGGGTTGGCCTGCCCACACAGTCCGTTCTTGCAGTCAATGTGAAGATTCCTTGTGAAACGCTCTCTCATAAATGCCTGAGGTGAGCCAGAAGCTGGATGAGAAGGACAAGACGCATGCCTGCTTGAGCTCAAGTTTTGTCTACAAGGCTTGTAAAATGTGCAGAACTTCCGACTGGCGGAGTTCTTTGCTGGAGTTGCGAAAGCTTGAAGCCCCGAGGGCTCGGAAACTCCATTATAGCTTGCAAGCTACAAGTAACTACTAGCAGCTGGCGTAATTCGAAATTCCGTAGCAGAGAATTATCGCGTAACCACGGTCGTCAGAAGTGGTGTTGGCAAGCCAAGGAGCGGCCGATCTGCGTTGATGATGGTTGTAGAGCGGAAGCTGGAAGACCAGGCAAAGCTCTTGTTGGAAGCCGGTGCAAAGGTAGATGAGGAAGACAAGGACGGGAGAACGCCTCTGGAGATGGATGCTTGTCAGCACATCCGCCTTTATCCCAAGGGCACCGTGTTTATTGCCGTGGTTGCTGCCGTTGCCCGTTGAGCGAGGTCAAGTCAGATGGTATGATCAAGATCTTGTGCAGCGGCAGATCTTCGCTGCTTGACAGCCGGAGCTTAAGGGAGAGTCAGAGTAGTGGGTAGTTCTTGAAAGCTCGTTTTACATGCTCCCACAAGTGGGTTGGGCCTCCTCGCAGGCCGCCGCTCCGCTCTGCTCGGGGTGGCTCTTGTCTCAAGTGGCTCCTCGAAGCGAACCATGGCCAAGCCTTGGCCCAGGCTTTACGAGAGAGCGTCCCTCTCAGTCGCCTCGTCGAGGCAGGGCAGAACTCCTCTTCGGTGCCCGAGATGGAGATATTACTCCACTGGACGGCGGAGGATACGAAAACCCTTTCTGAAGAGGACAGGGAGGCAAGGTTCCAAGAAGTCCTTCGCGGCATCTCCGACCAAAACACACTTTCGGAAGTTCTGAGATGTACAACAGAGCGAGAGTCCTCCTACATCTCGGTAGCAACCTTTCTTGTGAAGCACGGTGCACGAGCTCGCGATGCCATCGACCTAGCGATTCGACGCAAGAGAGTGGCATTGGTATCGCAGCTCCTGGATGTGTCGCAGATCACCTTGGAAGCCGAGTCCAACGAGGCCAAGGGTGGCTTGGCAGGCCTCGAGTTGTTGTGCGAGGTGTTGGAGAGCGCGGAAGGAGAAGTTCAACAGATGGAGGCAGATCTCTCTGCAAAGGAGATTCTCCTCGTGCTGGGAAAGGTTGCCTACGGTGCGGAGCAGTGGGCGAAAGTGGACACAAAAGTCAAGACATTGCATCCGGTGCAACAGCCTGTCGAATACAAGAAGCTAGTTCTCAAAGGATTTCAAGACATCGCCGCCAGGAAGAAAGAGCAACAAGAAGCTCAAGCTAAGCAAGCAAAGAAGCAACAGCAAGCTGCTGAACAAGCAGCTCAGCGCGCACGCCTCGATTCCAACCTCGAGGAAATGCTGGACCAGTGCAGCGATTTCGAGGACGACTTTTCGGATGATTCGCGCACTGTCACTCAAGCGGCAACAGGAGCAGACGTGGGGGGTGCTGTCACTGATGGATAGATGGCCAATGCTGGCCTCGGGATGTGAACATGAATTCATCAGAAGATCTTGTGCTGGTGTGGTACGTGGTAGCAAAATTCGCTACTGCACACGGCCGAAGCATCTTTCTGAGTGCAAAGGACAGAGCCATTGGGCGACACGTCTGCGAAATGCACGCAGGCGTGCAACTTCCGCAGAAAATGTGAGGAAGAAGCCAGTGAGTGTGCCTAGTGGCCTCGAAAACGTGCGTGATGTCAGCTGCTGGCCTCGCATTCGACATCCATTGAACGATGTGGCACGTAGATTGCGCTTTAGCTTGGGCGCACATGCCTTTCCAACAGCATTTGCATCCGCAGCATGCGGCAGATGGACACATCATCTTTGGCAACTCAGCACAGATTCGGTCATTGTACTAGCTGTTACTAGCAGCCCACCAGCACGAGCACTGACAGCAATGGGCGTGACAAAGGAGGTCAAGAAGGCATGGCTGTGGAGTTCGCCGCACGAGTCAGTTTTTGGATTTTAACCAGGCCGGAGATGGCAAGACCTTTCCCAAAGCAGGGGACCTGCTTAGGATGCCTGGCTTGGTGAGGCGTTCGCTTCATGAGCCTCCGCCAGACCCGCCTTCACTAAGGATGCACTACACCGGAAGATTTGCCAGCAGCGGACAGGTCTTCGATTCCTCTCAGGGCAAGGAGCCCCTCGAGTTCACAGCTGGTATTGGACAGGCAGGGCCTGGCTTCCAGGCATCAGGCATCTGCTGTGAAGAGCAGCTGAGTCTGCAGGTGATTCGAGGTTGGGATGAGGGCGATCCTTGGATTGCAAGCAGGCGGATGCCGGATCGGATCAGAATACAGCCTGGTCTTAGTGAGGTTATGCAAATGTCCAAAGGCGAGAAGGCCATCTTGCTCATTACATCTGACTTCGCGCGCCTTGCCACACGAGAAAAGTGGAAACCAAGACAAGACCACAAGATGCCCAAAAGTCGAAGCTATCGTGACAGAGTCAGAGATGAGGTATGGACGAGCTGGAATGCGGGGAGTGATCCCACCGAACGCTAACTTGGTGTTTGAGGCACTTGCAGTGGTGCTGTCAGAAGTATGTGAGTGAAAATCTCCTTTGCAGGGTTGCTAGGCTACCATCTGCCGCCAACTTTCAAGTCCTCACTCGTCTGAGTCGTTTGTAACTGAGCCTGGCTGACGTGTGTAATGGAGCGAGCTGAGATCAGCGAACGTAAGATCTTGCTGCAAGTCCGCCCAGTCAGCTCGCTCGCGTCCTCGACAATCGCTCTGGCTGCCGTAGACTTCGACCTGTCATGCAAGTCATCGCAGTGATTCCCGTGTTGGACCTGGAATGACTTCTTCCTGTGCCTCTGCAGGGTCTAGAACCATTGCCGAAGGTTCGTCCCGCATCCGCCTCCACTTCCCTGTTGGCCAATGACTCAAACTTGTCCCACCTATGGGCATTTTGGTTCATTGAAGGTGGAGCTGCTGGACATCAACCCGACTGAGAAGTACCACCCCAAGGACAGATTCACACGTGCTGCTGGCTCAGCTCATACCAGCCTGGCGTCAGGACGCGATGGACCATGCTTTGAGCTGTGTTTGTTATGCAGGCCCGAAGCGAAAGGTCAGCATCTTGTCGTGTCATCCATCTTCTCGATCGGGATTTCGTGCATGGAGGTGTTGCCATCCTCGCTCTGAAAGTCTGCGGCTGCGTTTGAACTGCGCACAGACTTCTTGAAGTTGGGTTCGAGCAGCCGAACTTGATGCTGCATGAACTTGAGACAATTGTTTGTGGATGCTGCCTCTGCTAATGGATGAGGCAGGACATGTGAGACCTGAAAAGGCATGCTCACAGACCACGATTCGATGCTTTCGGCAGATCGGTCTGATGAGAGCCTGCGAATCCAAGTCCGAGATCTACCAGTCGGCGACAGAACTAGATTCGCATGCTCGAATAGCGAGCATCTTCAGCAGTTACCGTGGATGTGAAAGCTTTGGCTTTGAAGAGATTGCCGTACAATAGACACAGAGTCGCTTCTCATGCTACAAATTCGAGCTTCCATGCTGAATCTTTTTCCGAACCTGGTTCCTGGCATTTCCTGGCAGTGCCGCTATCCCAGATGTAGTGGTACTCCTGGCAGTGTGCCGTAGCCAACCAACCCCGTCCAAGCACAGACATCCGATCTTCCATCCACATCTGAGCCATGATCTCGGCGAGCCTTGGAAAACATTCAGTCAATGTGGACGTCGTCTCAGATTCGGACGATGGCGGCTGAGCTGGAATTTGACCTGAAGATTCCAAGCGACTGTGTTTCAGTCTTGCTGACGGACATCAGTGTTAGGTGAATCTGGCACTGGCCACGCAAATAACGAGCCATCTTACGCATCTTGCAAGGCGGCTGGATGGTATTTGACATCACCGCAACCGGCTTTGGTTCCGCAGACATGTTCCTGCACTGGGGAGTTGGCAAACAGCCTCTCGACGCAAAGGTGTTGTTGCCGATGTGTCGGATCTCGAACTCTAGAGCATGTATATAGAGCCACGGAGTATCTTCCCTGGAACCCTCCATCATCCATCAGGCACGCGGAGGAGTGGATCGTGCCTGTAGAGATCCAGGCACGAACGACGCCAACAGCGAATCGCGTGCCAGGCAGGGAGAGAGAAGAGGTGAGGAGCTAAATGCAGCCAAGAGGAGTAGATCATCGTTGTTTTCTTTCAGTAAGATCCCTTCTGTAGGCTCTCTCTCTCTCTCTCTCACTCGGTCTCTCTATTACCCCATCTTTATCTATCTCTCTATCCGCCTGACTAGCTATCTGTCTATCTATCCATCTATCCAGTTGTCTATCTGTCGAGTTGTCTCCATGTTGCGGTGCATTTTCGAAATAGTAGGTGTCAGTAGGCATACATGGAGTGAGTCTTTCACAGGTGCACTGCAGACGCCTTTCCCGCCTCCTGATGGTCAGAACAGTCGAAAAGTACGTTTAGAAATCAACGTTGATGCTGGCTTGAAGCTTGACTCAACATTTGGAGAGTTGCTGCAAGCCAGAGTGCCTGTCTAGTGTCTAGCTTTTCTTCAGAGCATCGGGACATCGGGTCATGTTGGAGACGGGCTTCATACTGGTAGAGTTTTGATGCAGCACTGGCTTCGGATCTGTCTTGGAGATATGACTGCCGCTTGACCCCTTGCTCGGAGATTTTCACTGGCGAGTGAAGCCGCGTGAGTTCAGGAAGGGCTGCCAATTCGTACTGCACAAAAAGCCCAACGAGCATCTTGGCGCGCACACAGACACACACACACACACACACACACACACCCATAGCATGCCCCAGGCGTTCGAGTTGACATTAAAGAGTCCTGCTGAGGTGGCTCAAGAATGGATCCAGGAACTTTTTTCTCGACTTTTCCAAGGACGGCTTTGGGGTATGCCTTGCATCTTTGCAGACCGCCAGTGTATAATCCCCTGGCAGGTGGCGGACAGCCGTGGCTTTCGGGAGCTTGTCACGGAAGCCACGAAAGCCAATCCAGCTGCAAAGGCCCGGTGTAGCGAGCTCTTCAAGTTGGGTCCACAAACACAGGCTTTGCTGCGTCAGCCTGAAAGCAAAGCTAGCCCGAGCACTAGTGCGAGTCCAAGCGATGACACAAGCGTTGCTGCAAGCTGTAGCGTTCTCGACCCCAACTTTTTGACACGCTTGGCTACTCGTCTGCGATGTCAATGTGGTCGGGTTGTTTGCGGTGAATTCGATCAATACTTTTGAAAGCTTGCAGGTGTCCTGCTACAGCTCAAGCGGCGTGGAAGTGGCAGTTCTAGCAGCTTCGCAGGGTTCGGGGCTTAAAATTTTGTGCCTGAAGACCGACCTGTGGACTGCGGACATCGACGGCTCGCATCCCCGTTGTGTTGGAAATGCTCTGGCAGTTTTCGGACCCGAGGTGAGTGCTGCAATGTACAGGCGATTGTCCGGTCCGAGCGCGAACCTTGTCAACACGAGCAGGATAAAGTCTCAATGTCCGTTATTACTTCCTTTCGTGGTCCTTGGTCTTCAGTTTCTGACCCATTATTTGCTTTCAGGGTTAGCTTCCCGGCACGAGACTTCTTCCTGGGTGGGCTCGCCGCGAGCATCACGCCCCTGTAGTAGAATTTCAACACCATCTCCTTTCAGGTTTCCCAGTTATCTTCCGCATCAGTTCCCTTTAACTCCTGTCGATTTGCCTTGTGAGCTCTGGGCTCGCCACCACTCTGCTTTCCGAGTTTGGGATTTTCCCCCGACATGCTTTCCGCTTCCGTTTCGAGTTTGTTTCGCTTTTACTTGACCTTCCCTCAGGGTTTCGAGGCTCATCCAACACGCTCGGCACGGCAAGATCTCAAACTCGCCCCTCGTGGAAGAAACTCCTTGCATCCTCCAGGGCCAAACCCAAGCGGCGACTTGCATCTCAGGATTTGGTTCTACAGTATGGCCCAGCAGGGGACGATCGGCGTTGGACGTCCTCGACCAGGCAATCTTCCTACCCCTGCAGCTAGAGCAGCAGAGTAATCTGGTTTGCCACTGGAACAGCTCAGCCGCCGTAGCTTGGTGCACGGGCAGGCTGAGCTTGCAAAATAGCAGTGGGGACATCTACAAGGCTTCGTGGAGGATGCAGCAAGATTCTTGCCGCAGGTGGCACTGACAGAGCCCTGGGTTTTGTCAGGGTGAGATCAAGATCGAGGCACAGAATCTCAACAAGCCACTCGGCGCTGTGCCACACTGAAAAGAGAGAGCACCAGTGCTCCCGCATGGAATCTGTGACATCTGTGAAGGTATCTCATGTTCGTCCTACACGACCCGAGTGTCAACCAGTGGTTGAAGGCGGGACCGGACTTGCCATCGCCGCAAGGATGAACAGTGACCTGCAGTTCAGACATTAGGATGCTGGCCGAGACTTTTCCTTCGAGCTGCCCCGGGACATCTGCAAGACTGTGACCGCGAAGCCGCCGGAGCCTGCACAGGTCCAACTACTTTTTTGCAAACGCGTGCATGGCTGCTATAGCAGGTAGAGTCAGGTAGAGTTAGAGGATGGTTGACGTTGCATGAACATGGTCTACTCAACCGCCAGTCCAAAGAGGAAGTGATGCCTAGACCTAGTGGCAGAGTCCGTGTCAGACCTTCGACCCGGCCCCGCGGCTCCAGAGACGTGCCTCGAAATTGTTCAGCCTGGCACCAAGCCGACATGTCCAGGGAGACGTGTCAAGTGAATGTCATGGGTCCTTCAGCACCTTGCGCTAAGGCACCTTCGTTGAGGAGATACAGACCCTTGGCCGAGTTGATGCCTACGCGAGAAAACACATGCCCGGGAAAAGTCTACAACTGAAGCTGCAGCTACTAAAGACTTCAATGTAGCAGTTCAGAGACTGTTGCCTCGGTCTGAGGATGGCAGAGCCAGATGCAAAAAGCTCGTCCTGGACAGTGCCCGGAGCTGACGGCATCGAGGTGGTGGTTTTGGCTACGGCAGCACTTCTGGCTGAAGTAGCTGAAGCTAAGACTTCTTTGTGACTTGAAGCTTCGTGTCGTGTCCACGGGTGGAGCCCAGGCAGAGACGGGCTGTCAAGCGCACCTGCTGGTCAGCGCGAAGACAGCCTTGGTTTTACAGCCCCCTGGCTCGATTTGGCGACAGGCCCTTCACATCCCCTGCTGATGCTGCTGCTTGCCCAGGTATGAAATGCGTAGATGAAGTCTGAAGATTCAAGAAACTGCACAGAGCTAAGAATCCTGTCTGTCACCAGTTCGAAAATGAGGTACGGGCTGGCCGGGCAGGACCGCGCATGGAAATTCTCTAAGCGTGTGGAACTCGTGCGGGCCGGTACGGACAAATGGGAGGCCAGCTTTGAAGACAGAACGGGGCGAGTGGAGGTTGAGAGTAGGGACGGATAACAGGATGGGTGTCGGGACACTATTGTCCAGCATCCCCCTTGAAGGTTTCTTTTGAAGTCCCAGCGCACGAGATGGAGAAGTTTTTGATGTTTGCCACTTGGCAGATGACGGCTGTGTCACTGATCCGTGCTGGAGCCTCCGCATACACGAGCCTTTGAGCTCTCCTTCAGACGCCTTCAGGTCCTTCACGACGGCGCTGTCAACCGATGGATCAAGCATGGGCCGCATGACTTTGAGTTCGAAATGCCGCGACACGAGGACCAGGGCTTTTCTGGAACTGCTTCGCAACGGAAAGCTCATTGTACGTCCCGCCATGTCATGTGGAGTGGTTGCGTTACTGCGGCTGTCCCAGGAGTGGGATCGAGTCCAGCGTGAGGCAGAGGCACGTGCTCACCGGTACCCCGCGCATGTAACTGTAATCACCGCAAGTTACGCGAGAAGAATGCAACGACCCGGTCAGAGTTGGGCAGAAGGGCTTTGCGCCCGCTTTAAACTTCAGCTGAACATTGCATACTCGCGGTCGGTACAACGAGAGGACTCGGAAGATCTCGGAAAATGTCAGGCCAAGAGCGCAGAGGAGGCGAGGCTGGTTATGGCTGCGAAAAGCCAGTTCTTGGAGGCGCCCTGGCTGCCAGGGCTTTGCCGCTTTGCCGCTGCGCAGTGCCTGGACTTTTGAAGCCTCCAGGGCCGACGAGGCCGCGAATCGAAGGCAGATATCTCCTTCACTCCCTTCGAGCTTCAAGGCGGGCTCGGGGGGCTAAGAGCGCAAGAGCCTGGCAATGTCAAACCTCCGGCCCGAGGAGATTTTGGATC